GTTCAACGATATGCTCTGGGTGGTCGCACAACTGAACATTTTTCACCGTTACACTTCCGTCAGCGTCACTCATGTCATCGTCTGCCCCAAAGTAGAAGTGCGTGATCTCCCCGTTCTCCCTGCTCTTCGGCACCTCGTTTTGCCCTTCCTCAAGCGTCAGTGACTCGCCGTTAACGTAGAAGAAAAACCTGTCATCCTTGAGTGTGAGAAGCACGTGGTATTGTTTATTGGACTCACACGCGGGGGCGTGCACCAACCTCCTCTCCCCAGTTCGGCTTCTCACCACCCACTTATTCTCGCTGCTGCACAACAATCCAAGGCGGTTGCGTGTGCTGACGGTGCCGTCAAACTTCATACCAAACATCGAGGCATTCTTTTTCAGCTCATTGACGGTTACTGCCGCCGCAAGAGAAAAGTTGTAGTTGGCGAAGTGGTGCCGCTGGTTCGGCCCCTGCTCGCCTAAGGGCTACCTCGCCCACGAATTGGCCCCGCTGAACATAACGCTGTCCTTGGCCTTCGTCGCGCCATGCATCGTTGCGCTCACGCAGAGATACTCGTCGTTCCAGTGGGTGGCAGAGTTTCTATCGGGCAAAAAGCCAACCGGCTTGGAAGCGCCTCACGCACCGCCAACACCCGAGGACCCGCAGGGCTTGGAGGAACCATCGCCCAGATTATTTCTCTTTACCGGCACACTCTCCCGAGCTCGCAGTTCCGCCTTTATCTGCTGTAGCTGCGCAGGGAGCCCCGTTAGAAAAAAAAGGCGATTCCGTACGTGGTAGCTTGCGTGTGGTAAAAATGTATTGTTTTGGCAAACGGCAAGGCGCCGCTATGGCGTGCGTCTCTGCATCTAGAATCGCTCCCGCGTCGAAGGCGCGCGCGCCGTCGGACCACCCCAAGCAGAGCCTAACGACCCCAGGGCTCCTTCCGCAGCAGAACCTACTGGGTTGGTGGCCGACATCGCTTTACTCCCATCAATTTCCGCAGTGGCGAATCTGCCTTACTTGCCGGCCCCCTTGCGTCGCGACGCTTTGGCCCACACACGCGAGAGTTTCCCGAGCGGCCCTGTTCTCACAATAACAATGGGCAGAAATTCCTTGACGCAGCAGATTGCGGAAATACCAAAGCGAAAGATTAATCTCATATCGTTGTTATCTGATGACATCTTGCTTCTTCGACGCCGCCCTAGACTCGCGAACCGCGTGCCAACAAATCTTTTGCGAAATCCGAACTTGAGGAGGGTGGTGACGGAAGGGCGAATTTGTTCGTTTTTTTTTTTGTTGCTGTTGGTGTTGGCGGGGGGTTTGGGTGGATGTTTAAATTAAAGGTGTTGGTGGTTGATGTGTTGGCGTTTTTCCGCCTCATCTTTCGTGTTGCCACCTGGAGTCCTCAGTGGTATGGTGTTTTTTTTGTTGTACCTCAATTTATTTAGTTATTTTACTTTTTGAAGGAGATGAAGGAAGTATTTGATATGGACGTTACTCAAGATGGACATAATGATACAGTGAATGGCGAGAAGTTCCAACGGAACAGGTTGAGTGATAACGTGTCTGTTGGTGACTCTAGTGAAAAGTTACATTGTCCTGGGGTCAAGTCGGCGTCTTGCTCCGGTGATGACATGCGAACCAAGTCCCAGATGACAATAGCTGCAAATGACCTGATTGATGTCAAAGGGGATAATTCTTTGCTACCTGCCGTATGTCCTGAAAAACGTGAACAATGCACTGGGCCTAAAAAGTATAAAGAAGAGTTGGATAAGCTTGGGAAACAACTGTTGATATTAACACAAAGATTAGACGCGGAAGTGAATAGCAAGAAGTTGGTGGAAGATAAATTAAGCATGGCAAAAAGCACAATTGCCACACAAAAAAGAGAAATTTTGTTGCTTCAACGCCAACTTCAGTCAGGTCCTAGCGAGTTATCGGATCGAAGGTTAGAGGCTCCTCTTCGAGATATAGCTCTTTTGAAGCCAAAGTTAAGTGGGTTAGGGGGGGCGGAGAAGGTTTCTCAAGGAGGTGATGCTTCTCAGTTACAAACGAGCTTGTGTAGGGTGTCTGCTGAAAGAGATGAGTTGTTGAACTGTGTAAAAAAGCAAAGTAAGCTCATAGAAGTCTTGAAACAACAAAAGCTGCATTTAGAAGCATCCATTCTTGCTGATATAAGTGAAAAGGAACTTGGAAAGTACTTTGATCTTGTTCGTCGATAAAAAAAAAACTGACCAATTGTGTGCATCTGTGTGTGTGTGTGCCTTTTTCATTGTTATTTTATCATCGTTAGTATTATCATAGTTATTGTTCTTTTTTGCCTCGATTGCCTTTGGGTCGCTTAGAGAAGGTTGTTGTTGTTGTTTTGTCTTTGTGTTGGGTAAATACATATTGTTTTGTATTGTTACATGTGCGTGTTTTGATTAATTTTTGCACCGATGTTTTTTTTTTGATTGTTTTTATACGTTGAAGGCAATGGCGTGTGTTACGGGGGATGATACTGGCTTAGTTAAAGTGTGGGATGTTTCAAGAAGTTTGGGCGCCACTGTAGCCTTTTCCTATGGTGAACAAAGCAGAAAAAGAGGTATTGCTGCTATGTGTTGGATGGATAACTCAACGACAAAACTTGTTTTTTCTATGAATGATGGAGTTGTTTCGGTGTTGGATTTAGAAGAACGCGTTTTGATGCAGTCGAAGAATATGCGACTTGTCGCTGGCTTACCTAGCGGTCTTGCATTTGTGAAGGAAAAACTTGTAATGGCGTCTAACGATGGCAAAATATTAATTGCTGATGAGTCATTTGAAGGTTCGAATATCTTTGAATGTAATGGCCCCGTCGAAGCGTTTCATATTCATCGAAAATTTGGTATGTTTGCTATGGGAGGCAAGGATAATGATCTTTGTGTGTATGATGTTTCTGCACAAAACGTTTCGGTTCCTGTGTTTAAGGCGAAAAATGTGCGGGATCATGTTTTGGATGTGCCATATCCTGTGTATGTGGCTGGAGCATGTATCATTAATCCGTTTGTATTCTGTACGACAACAGCCTATCATCAAGTTCGTTTCTACGATCGTCGAAGTAGTGAAAGGCCGGTACAAGAGTATCAGATTAGCCGTGAAATTGGGCGTAGACCAACTACGCTAATGCAGTGGAATTGCAATAAATTTCTTATAGGAGAAGCAAGTGGGGATATACATTTGTATGACACACGGCGTGGCTTTGCATCTAGAGCCAAATTGCGAGGTGGTGTTGGAAGTGTAAGAAGCATGACAAAGCATCCAGCTGGTCACCAGCTTCTTGGTGTTGCGGGGTTGGATCGCAAAGCACGAATATATCATGTCCCGACAGGAAAATTGTTGATGACAATGTATGCCAAGCAAAAAGTGTCGAGTATTCTTTTTGATAGGCATTTACCGCTTGCAGATAATATGGGGGCCTTCAGTGGTATTGCAAACTCAAAGCAACCGAGTAAATTTTCTACACTTGGTGATGAGGTGTGGGATAACATGGATCCTGTGGTGGATGACATCAATGAGGGAACTATTTCCTTGTAGGCAAACATAATATTGAAGATAATTTAAGGTTGTAAAACGTTACATAAGTGTTATTATTATTATTGTTATTATTATTATTATTATTATTATTATTGCCATGAGATAATTTACTGTCCACGTATAACTTGAAAAAGGAAAACACACTGGATAACGAGGAATATATATATTTACATCTTTTATTCTTTGTTTTTTACGACGTTGTCAAATAATAATAATAATAAAAGCATCTACAAGTCATAATGGCTTCTTGCCGAACAGGACGGCTTCCAATGCCGGACGATCCACTTTTCAATCCTACGCATATGGGTGGTCTTCGGTCAAGTGCGCGTATTGCAGGAGTTGGATTACTCGCTGTTATTTGGATCATGTACCAGAAGCTTCATCACTCGCACCACTATATTACATACAAGGGTCCCGACAATCCGTTTGCTCGTATTCGTCATCGTCGGTACCCTGGCGGAGGTTTCTTTTTTGGATGGGGTAACAATGGGTTGAATCGTGATTGTGGTCTGAAAGAATGGGAATGCTGGGCGGGATACACCGGAAAAGAGTATACGTATTAGGTATTTGTATTTGTGCAAGGAAAAAAAAAACGAAAAAACAGTACTTTGTATTTTTTTTTTGCACTATAAGGATTTTTTATTTGGTTTTCTTTTTTTTTCTAGCATGAGGATAGTAGTAGTTGTGTATTTAGGATGACGTAGGGAAATTATTTGCACCTTTTTTTTCTTTTCGATATCTGTATCTGGTGGAACACAAGTAATGCTATTTTGCTGAGCACATATATTTCTCATTCTGTTTTTGTTGTGCTTGTGGTTGTTGTTTCTGTGAGTGTATATTACAGTTAGCATCGTTTATTCAACTTAAGAGTTAATTTGATTTTATTAGGGAAGTTTATTTGCTAGCGTTTTTTTTTATGAACTGCCAGCGGCGCGGGAGAGAAGAACATGCGCCGGCTCCAGTAATTCGTTCCGATGCAGAATGCTGGCGTGTTGTTCGAGATTATTCCCAACGCATTTGGGGCGAGACTTGGATGTACGGTGGACCAGCAGCTTATTTTTCCTTCAATAAGAATTTCCGTTATTACCTTTGAGCGATATTTATTGTGATTGGTTCTGTATGGAGATGATGTGAATTGCTTTACGGCTACATTTTTGTTGTAGCCTTGTTATAAACGTTTATATTATATATATATATATATATAATATTTTCTTTTTGATGCGATCTTTTTTTTTTCCAATGACTGTGTCTTTATAGCATGTTATAAATATATTAAATGTGCGTTTTTTTATTTATTTATTTGTCTTTTTGTTTGTGTTTTTTTTTATTAAGATTATAAGTGTAGTCATGGAAGTGTGTATTGATGATGACTCTCCCTTGTTTCTTGGTGAGTATATTCGATCAAATCCGTCGTCTGCAATAAGTGCACGATGGGTATTTGAACTTCCCGATGAAGAACAAGGAGATTGTATAGCAAAAATGGTTGAAAACGCAGCGTATCAGGAAACCTGGCTATCGTATTTTGAATATGCAGCAAAAAAAGAAATTCCAGTAACTGAGGATATAGCGTTAGAAGCCATTCATGCAGTTGGTCTTGATCCTTGTAGTGCGCCTTTATGGTTAAAAGTGGTTGAACTATGTTCGAGTGAGGAAAAAAAAAGGGAACTATTTCAACTGGCGCTACGGGTGCCCTTGTATCAACAAGGTCTGGTCTATCAGACATATAAAATGTTTGAGTCAGAAGTGGCCAAGCAAAATGGACACAACATGTCTAGCTGTCTGTCACTATCTGAAGTTATGCAATATTCCAAGATCTTGGAGACAGAGCCTAGTTGGCCTGATCGTTTTGTGGATGTGCAGACCACCAAAAGCGATCGTAGAGACGCAGTCATTGCCCAATGGAATAGTTTATTGCAGTTTATGATTGAAAAACATGAAGAGTTTCACCTACCTAAAGAACTTCAGTTGAGGCGGATTGAGCTTGCATTTCGTCAACTATGTAGTCAGTTTTCTCATGCAGATGTGTGTTGGTATGCGTATGCATGTTTTATGGCTGTGGAATTGAAGGATGATATACAGGCTCGGGAAATTGTTGAAAAGGGGCTTTGTTGTATTGGTGACAATTCTATTGCTCTTTGCTCCTTAAAGGCGTTATTGTCCAACTCTGAGCTTGAATCCGAGAATACATTAAAAGACCTGTTGAAGGAGGGAATACTTGTACAAAGATTGTATGCAAATACAGCTAATGAATCCTTGAAAAATAGAAAAAGGTTTCGAGATATTGGTAAAACTGCAGTTGCAAACCGTATTAGCGATTGGATATTTTATCATCAGTGGGCTTCCGCAGAGCAGTGTGTTTTGAAAGATGTGCAGATGGCTTCAAAGGTGTATGAGAGAGGTATACCTTGCGCTGCAAAATCTTTGAAAGATGTTGTATTGCTGTCAAATGAGGCGGTTACGCATCATCTTTGGCGACGGGATGAACGCGGAGTTCTTGGATATGCAGAGCGCCAAATTGAGTTGCTCTCCTCTTCGCAGCATGAGGGATTGATACGGGCTAGTTGGAATCAACTTGTTCGTGCTGAGTCCATTTTGGGCTTGCCTTCGCTACCAAAAACACTCCGAAGGCGCGCAGAGCATTGTGTGGATGTTGCAAGTAAATCAGTTATTGAGCGTTACCATGTAGGTAATTATATCCCTTGTTCTGATGAGGATCTTGATTGGCTTGAATACATAAATGACCTCTTCAAGGCTCGCAAGGAGGAACAAGAACCTGTTTTTGAGGGGGTAACACCGTTGAAGCATATGACAATCGCTACAGATTTGATGACTCGTTCTAGTCCTGTTTTACCAGATACATATTTATGGAATACGTTTGAGATGTGCCCCAACCGTGAAAATTCTTCAGCAGCAGAGGACGCCGATGAAATTGTTGGGTCCCGAACACTACGAGGGAGACTTGTGTACAAGCTAAAAATTGATGATAGGACAGAGGCCCGACTAAAGCGCGAGGCGCAGTTTCGCCAAGAAAAGAAAGTTAAAGATATGGGTAGCAAGGCACTCAAGGGTCCACATTCTGCTCTTCAGGCGTTGGTTGAAAGACTAGAAGCCAAAAACTGGAATTCAACTCAACTAAGGATGTGCCTTGTTCTTAATGCTGAGTGGCTTATGAACACACTCACTCATGGGGAATTGGATCTGCGCAGACGGCGTTCTTAACCTCGACTGGGAGAATGATGAATAAAGATGTCTCTCTCTCTCTCTCTCTCTCTCTCACTCTCCCCCCTCTACAAGAAGCAACAAATATAATGTGTGTGTTAACATGCATACACAAGTGTCTAATATATACATATATGCATTTATTTATGTATCAGAGATGAAAGCCATCACATTTTTTTCCTATTTTATTGTATCTCTTCTTTGATGCGTTATTATTATTATTATTGTTTTTTTTTTCTGTTGTGGTTTTCTGCTGTGTTTCTTTGCGATTTCTCACAGTGAGAGAAAAGAGAAAGCGATAAACAAAACTAGTGACAAAGATGCGGAGTGACGCCCTTCGTGTTTTGGGAAGAAGTCCCTTTGAGAACATAGCGCCCAAGACGCGCCTGAGGCAACTGTTGCAAACTCATCAGGGTCGAGATAAACTGTTTAAGGTGGTGCAATATTTTCTTAGGTTAAGACTCTCGATGGATTCGGTGAATTTCAACCTCAACTATGTTCCGGGTGCAAAGTTCACTGCCGTCGAACGAAACTTGATGACCATTGTGAACGCCCGAAGGCTGTTTCGTGTGGGGCGCTTTGTTGGAGAATTTGTCAGAATGCGGTTGACGTTGATCAAGTGCGCCGAACTTGTGTACATTCCGGTTCAGGGTGGACAGTGGCTTGCCTCTTTCATTCAATGGCAGATGCTGTGCGATATGTTTGCTCGAGCCCTTATGTGTGTAAAGTCCTTGTGCGAAGATATCGCCTTTCTCACACAAAAAGGTTTTTTTAACAGCCAAGTAGCGGACCAGCTTATTAGTGTGGCCGTTCGGTGTACGCTTCCAGTTTTTTTAATTGATCTCTTTCTAAACACACTCCGGTTATTCCAGGGAATTCTTGATGCGTCACGGAAGTCGGATAAAAAAGAACTTTTGCTTTCAAAAGATTCCTTTTCGCTCTTGTCAAAGTACGACCGTGTGGATAAGCTGCGGCGATGTATGAGCAGGCCCAACCCTCTGGATAAGGGCCAAGTGGATGATGCAGAAGAGGAGGAGCTACGAACGGCAGAAGCGGCACAAGAAAATGAGATTGTGGTGAGCTCCTATCAAGAGTTGCTCTGGAAGGATTTTGAGTTACACTGGGTTTTTGTTACGGAGCTAAAGTTGCTTCTTGACCTTTTTGTAGCCTTGTCGAATCTGAACCACTGGGATAGTCTTCGGGGCCTGGTTAGTATGGGAGGCCTATGTTCGGGGCTTTTGTCTGTCTACAGAGTCTGGACCTATGGACGTTGATACTGCAAGGATGAAGAGGAAATAGTAAGAAGAAACTGTTGCGTATTTTTTTCTGGGTATTTGTTTATTTCACCATGGTATATATATATATATATATATATTGGTTTATGTTATTCCTATTTGTTGACTGTGTGGGGTACGCTTCTTGTTGCGGCAGGTGACATTTTTTTTTATCCTCCCATTGATATCACCACTACACATAACCACAGCTATTGCGGTATATGGCAATGAACTCTGTAAAGACACAGAGGGCCCAGAGGGGCACCACCCCCGTGTCCTCATTGGTATGTGTCAGGCGAAATGAGGGGGATTGGAGGAGCACATTAAAAGTCTTTGTCGAGGAGGTGGCTCAACTAAAGGGGGAAACGGACGCCCTGAAAGCCACCCGGGCTGCTATGGAGGCCTCGTGGCAGAGGATTGTGGAAAAGGTGGACCTGCTCACCGATGAGAATCGTTCGTCGCAGCACACCCTGCAGTCTTTGCTGGAGGAAGAACGACAGAAAGCGCTCGCGGTGATAAAGGAAAAGAAAGAATTACTTGCGAAAGTGAAGTGCGTTGAAGAGGCGTGTGCCTCCAAGGAGAAGGAAATACATCGACTGGCTGAGATGTTGGAGACAGAAAGGATTAAGCATAGCGTTTCGGTGGCCTTGCATGAGAAGGCACTGGAGGAAAGGAAGGCAGAGCACCAGGTGGAGCTTAGTCTGCGGGAGAAGCGACTAGAAGATATGCAATTTGAGCTGCAGCAGCAACTGGAGAGACATGAAAATGAACTTCTGGCAAAGGATGCATTATTAGAGGAAGAGAGAAGCTGGAGAAAACGGCAAGAAAGATCGGGCATAGAAGACTCCTCGCATTTGCTTCAGACAAAGGGGGCGGCACCTGCATTTAGACACTCTTTAGAACCCGTAACGGATGTTGCTGATATTTCCTCCAATAAAACCCTCATGACGCAAGCAGCGTTGGCCGTGTTTGCCGATGACTATGCCACTCGTTGCGTCCCGAAGAAGACTCGGTTAGAGGCGGCTCGGCAACGGCAGCGGCGATGCAACGGGAAACGCAAGGGGGACGATGTGACATTGATTTCGCTTAACAAGCTGAACGATCTTCAAGAAAACTTCCGTCTGTAGAGTGGCCTTCTCTGGCGTGTCTTTATTTTCTTTGTTTTTTTTGTTGTTGTTGTTATAGTTGTTTTCCCTCCCTCAGATGTATCTTCTTTGGTTCCCTAGATGCTGCATGTGGGTTGTATTGTTTGTGCGTTTTACATCTTTCCCACTTATACGCTACTGCTCCACAGGGTTACTTCATAAACAACACTACCTGTAAAGGATGGCTTCGGCATGAACTTTTTTTGCTTTCTCTCTCTCTCTCTCTTCTTGACTAATCCTTCAAGTGATCTGATATGTCCGCTGTTCTTGCCGTGGCTGTCCTTGCACTCATCCTTGCGGGTGTTTTGCAATGGCAACGCAGGTCAGTCGAGTTTCGCCCCCGCATACTTGGCGATGTTCTCCTTGTATTTTCCCACCCAGACGATGAGGCGATGTTTTTTTCGCCGTTGTTGGAGCACCTGAAACGATACGACGTGAAGGCCCACTTTCTTTGTCTTTCAAATGGAAATTATGAGGGTCTGGGTGCCGTTCGCGAAAAGGAGCTTGGCCTTAGCGCGCAGTACTTGGGAGTTCACCGAAACAAGGTGAAAATAGTGAATCATCCTGCCTTGCAAGACGGGATGCAGGCATCGTGGGATGCAGCATTGATTCGTCAAGAGGTGATGTTGTACCTTCAAAAGGCGAAAAATGTACGCACCGTCATCACCTTCGACCAGTGGGGGGTGTCATCACACCCGAACCACATCGCAGCCTATCACGGGGTTCGACTGGTAAAGGAGTGCATGCCGCCTGGGATTGTGTTTTTGGGTTTGCGTACTAGAAGCCTACTGGGTAAGTACAGTGGGGCGTTGGCGGTCGTTCAGTACATGACAAATATTGGTTTGTCGAGTAAAAAGCAACCGCTTGTTTTTATTATACCCCCTCTCGCGTCCTTGACGAGTTTTTTTGCACTACGGCTGCACAGAACACAACTAGTGTGGTTCCGCTATCTTTTTGTGGCATTTTCGTCTTACACCTACGTCAATGAGCTGGAGGAGCTAAAAACGCACTAAAGATACGTTTTCTGCGGAGCGAACGTGGAATTTGAAGAGCTGCGGATGTTGGCACGTGGAGTGTGTTGATGGTGAAGGAATGATGCCTGGCTTCTGGCGCTGTTGCTATTGTGGGGAGGGGATTGAAGTGATGATGTGGATGCTTCTTTTTATGCGTCTTCTCTCTTGTGTGGGCAGGGATGAAGCAGCATGTGTTTAAGCCACCAGCAAACTGGAGTAAGTTGTATGCCAAGGTAAAGGAAATTCGCGAGACGTTGAAGGCTCCCGTCGATACGGTGGGGTGCTCGAAACTGTTCGATAAATCCGCATCCAATGAAACGCGGCGGTATCATATTTTGCTTGCACTGATGCTTAGTGCTCAGACGAAAGACCACGTGACGGCGGAGGCAATGCGTGTTCTTATTCAGCATGGATGTACTCCCGAGTTAGTGTCGAAAATGCCGGAGAAAAAGCTTAATGAGTTCATTGCTAAAGTGGGGTTCCACAACACAAAGGCAAAGCATATTAAGGAGGCGACCGATACCATTTTGAAGAAGCATCAAGGGATGGTGCCGCGTTCCTATGCGGATCTCATTGCCTTACCAGGCATTGGGCCCAAGATGGCTCATTTGTTCCTCCAGGAGGCCGATGGGGTGGTGCTGGGCATTGGGGTGGATACCCACGTCCACCGCATCAGCCGACGCTTTCACTGGGTCCCATCAACAGTGAAAACACCGGAGGACACACGAAAGGCACTTGAGTCTTGGCTCCCACGGGAGAACTGGGGTGAAATCAATGGACTACTTGTGGGATTAGGGCAAACCATATGTACTCCGCTGATACCGCATTGCTCGGAGTGCCCGGCCGCCGCGTTGTGTCCCAACGCGTTTAAGGAGACGAGGACGAGTGGAAAACGAGAAAGGCTTCCTTCTGACATTGAAGACATTGGCACGGTGAAAGTTTGTAAGCGTCGTGGACGTCGTTGATCCCTTCTTATTCTTTTTTGCTTGATTCCAAATACATACATACATTCCTTACACACACCATATTTCTCTGTATTCGTCTAGTTTTGGTCTTGTTATATTGTTCTTGATTTACGTCCTACCTTGTCTGTCTCCTCGTTAGATGTCAACAGTGATTGTTGTTCCTTCCTTTGACTGATAAGAACTGCTTTGAAAGCAATTACTCACTGTCAATCAAGATGTCCTTTGACTCCCCGTATAACCGTAATGTGTACATTGCAAGTCTCCCGCCCAACTACACGGATTCGGAGTTACACGCCTTGTTTGCCCCCTTTGGGAAAATTTTGTCCACAGCTCTTGTGAAGGACAAGAACACAGGGCTCTGTAAAGGTTACGGATTTGTGCTGATGGAACGCTTCCAAGATGCATACAATGCAGTGATTGCTCTCCAGGGGCACAGTATTGCCCATACACGTGTGCAGGTGCGCCTGGCCCGACCAGAGGCGTCAGCAAAGCGAGTTTGTCCCCTTGTTTATCAGCAAGCCTTGATATACGATGCAGCGTCACCGACGTATTTATTTTTGCTCCCCCAACCATACATATTGAGCCAGTGATGTGTGAAAACCACCGCAGCTGAAAGGAAGATAAAAGAAAACCAAGACCTTTTTGTTGCTGCTTCTTTTATGTGGGTGTGTGTGTGTTTTGTTTTTATGAAGGACAAAGCTTACAAAGAGAAACAGTAAACTGCTGTGTTTTCCCTACTCCATTTTATTTCCCTTTTTGTGCTGTATTTGGTGATTTACTTTAGATCCCACTCGCAGACACAATAACGCACTTATGGAAACCAACTACTTAAAATTTCAACGCCAAATATGGTCAATATCCAACAACACATGCGCATCCCGGACTTCATGAGGATGTCGTTTTCGCAGTGTCACACACAAAAAAAAAAAAATGAAGAAAGACAAATGCATATATGCATATATGTATAGGAACGCCTTCCCTCTTTGTTTGCTTATGCTTTTGCTTTGCTTTGCCGTGCAGAGCAGCACCTTCGCCAGGGAATGAGCTCCCTGTGGGAAGGGTGGGCAGTGGAGGAGAAGGGTGAACGAGAGAACATGCGGACCAAGCGAGAAACACGCGGACGACAAGCTGAAAAGAAGAAAGGGAGAGTACTTTAACAGAGAAGAAGAAACTATGTGAAGAAAAAGAAAAGTGGTATACGAAAGAAAGAAGGAAACAGCAGGTATAGGGAAGAGGAAAAATAAAAGAAAGAGGGAGAAGACGTAACGAGATGTTTGGCCTTTTTTCTTTCTTCCGGCACTTTTATTTTGTCTCGTTTTGACTTTCTTGTTGTTGTTTTGTTACTGTTTGAAGAATTCGGTGCGGGCGGCGGGGGGGCATGCGTAAACGCAGCGGGTGGTGTTCTTATGTCTTGCCTCTCCAAATTGGCACACGTCAACTTCCTTTTCCTTCTCTTTCTCGTCGGCTGTGTGTGCGGCTGCAGTGTTAGGAATGGGCCCTAATAGACAGCGGAAGACGAGGGAGCCGCATCGTGGTCGCGGAGGGCGTCGCCCACCCGCACCGTCGGCGCCAGCGGCAGCGGCTCCTTCCATGCTCTCTCGCGCCGGTAGGGATATGATCATTGATGTCCTGCACCACGCCGCGACTGGAGGGGCGGTGCCGGTGCCCGAGAAACACTTTGACGCGAATGCGGGAGGACGAATAACACTTCAACGCAACACGCCCTTGACTTCGCCAGAAATCCTGCAAAGATTGTACGAGGCGCTTGGCTTCCCACCGGATCTCACCACCCAGTACGTGACAGATTTGCAAGACGACGCCAGGTTTCCCACATTCTCTTCTCTCACTGAGTTGCTTGCCGAAGACGGTCCGCACCAGGCTTTTTTGGTAAGGAGTTGCCTTGAGTTGTTTTACTGCATGTTGTGGTACTCTCGGGGAGATGTGGAGACAACCATGACCGCTGAGGAGGGTGACGCCGTACTGGAGGATGAGCTTGACACCATACGAAGTCTCTTTGATGAGAGTTTCTTGGGCGTAAAAAACTTTGACGAAGATGATGTTGAGGATCGGCATATTTACTTTTCGTTCTTCACAGAGAGCGGGGGAAGTGTGGTGGTCTGCGTCAGCGTTCCTTATCATTACCCTGTCGATCCCCCGCTTGTCTTTGTGCAGCCGCGTGGGAAACTGGTGGGCGCATTACCCACCCTCGGAGTGTTCCGCGCAGACACGAAGGAACTACCGGCCGCTTCGCGTCGCTCCATACTTGATGCTGCAGTTGAAGCCATTAATGGGCTTGCAGGGGAGGGGTGCTTGGTGAGTCTGGTATCCTCGTTGCATGGGGCTATCTCGTCTCTTGAGCACATCCCCAATTCCACGAACAATCCACACGTGACGGAGGAGCAGCAGGCGGTCAAGGAGGAAAAGGTCAGCATCGATGTACAAAGAAAAGCGTTTGCAACCGCCTTAACAGCTGCTCCGGGTGTAACCGTAGCATCTAATGAAGGTCCTCTTGTGCCGTACGCTATGCCGGAAAGAATTGGGCTTACAACAGTTGACTGCACTCAAAATGAGGCCGATCGGGTGCGTCGAGAATATTTAAAGTCAGACAAATCGCTTAATACCAAACTTAGTGCAGAGTGGGATGTTCTTAAGAACACTGGAACGATGAAAACGGCACGTGAACAACTGCCTGCGTTTCAGGTGCGTGAAGAACTCCGCGAGACCCTTTCAAGGCATCAGGTTGTTGTTATTGGTGGAGAGACGGGGAGCGGAAAGACGACGCAGATCCCACAGTACCTGTATGAATTTATGTGTGAAGCAGGTATGGGGGGTTCAGCGAACATCGTCTGCACCCAACCGAGAAGGCTTGCTGCAACGTCTGTGGCTCTTCGCGTTGCTGAAGAACGCGATGAGGCAGTGGGAGGCGTCGTGGGTTACACGATTCGTCTTGAAAGTTGCGTGTCACGACGCACGCAGATTACCTATTGCACGACAGGTATTGTGCTGCGACGCCTACAGGTGGAAAAGTTTTTGGGTTCTGTTAGCCACATTGTTGTGGACGAAATCCATGAACGTGGGGTGGATACCGATTTCTTGCTGATCCTTTTGCGTGACCTCATTCAACGACGATCCGACCTCAAGGTGGTACTCATGAGCGCCACGATGGACTCTGAATTGTTTGCACGTTACTTTGGCGGAGCTCCTGTCATCTCGATTCGGGGTCGTACGTATCCGGTGCAGAATTTTTATTTGGAGGACATCATTCCCATGGTTAGTTACGTCCTCGAGGACGGCTCACCGTACGCCAGGTGGGAGGTAAAAGGAAAGGAACGGCGTCGTAATACGAGAAAGCAGGCGCTAGTCATTGATCCTGAACAGATTGAAGAGGCACGGGAGACGGAATGCCAGGAGCAGGCTCTCGCTGGGCAGCTTCACGTCTCCCAGAAAACGCTGGAGACTATATCAAGAATGAATCTTGACGTGATCAACTATGAGCTCATTGAGAGTATTGTTTTGTACATTGACGGTGTTCTGAAAGTGGATGGAGCTGTTTTAATTTTTCTTCCTGGTATGGCGGAGATGATTCGGTGTGTGGAACAGCTGAAGTCTAATCCGCGGTTGTCGAATAGCTGCTTGATGTACAACCTGCATAGTTCTCTGGGTTCTTCAGAGCAGCATGGCGTGTTTCAACGACCACCTAAAGGGAAGCGAAAAGTTGTGATTGGCACAAACATCATGGAAACTTCCATTACAATTGACGATGCCGTGTTTGTCATCGATAGTGGGAAGGCGAGGGAAAACCGCTACGACGCCAGGAAAAGTTTGTCACAATTGGTGACCGTCAACGTCTCCAAGGCCAACTGTCGTCAGCGCCAAGGGCGCGCTGGACGCGTACGGGAAGGGTTTTGTTTTTGCCTATTTACTAGTGCCCACTTTGAGGCGTTGGATGATCATCAACTGTGTGAGATGCACCGCGTGCCTCTTGAGGGCCTTATCCTTCAAATCTACTCGCTTGATTTGGGAGATGAAGTGGAGTATCTTCAGAAGGCGCTTTCGCCGCCTGAGGAACATGCTGTTCGAAGCAGTGTGAGAGCGCTAACGACTCTTGGAGCCTTGACATTTGATAAGCGTCTAACCTCCCTTGGTCACCACTTGGCAAACCTGCCCTTGGATGTACGTATAGGAAAGATGATTATCCACGGGGCAATTTTGCATTGTGTTGATCCAGTTTTAACAATAGCGGCCTGTTTAGCTGTGCGGAGTCCGTTCCTGTCTGCAATGGACTACCAAACTGAAGTGGAAGCGGTACGAAGAGCTTTTGCAGGGGAATATATGTCGGATCATTTAGTTTTTTGGTTTGCCTACGCTAGTTGGATTGCCATGCAACATAAAGAAGGTACTTCTGCTGCGAAGAAGCTTTGTGCACGGTACTATCTCTCTATACCGACATTGAAACAAATTCAGTCCACCAAAAGACAGTATGAGCGTTACCTCTACGAAGCAGGATTTATTGAGGAAACCCCTACCCAGTCATCGCATGACCGATTTTTGTACAACCCTGTGTTAACTCTTGACGACCGCGTGTATGAATCTGGTGGAGAGCGATTTAATGCTAATGCGGGTAGTGTAAAGTGTATTCTCTCATGCGTTGTGGCCGGCCTTTACCCGAACATTGCACGCGTCAAAACTGGTGCCAGTAAAAAAGGTGGTACATTTGTCAACATGACCACATTCGATGGGTTGGAGGTGCTGATACACCCCTCCAGTGTTGCGGGGAAGGCGAAGACATTTGCCTCCCCGCTTCTTGTTTATGTGGACAAGGTGAAGACCTCTGCCACGTTCCTACGAGATGTGTCTATGGTGACCCCTCTTCACGTTATACTTTTCAGCGGCGGTGGTTTGGAGTATCTTCCAAAGTACAGTGAGCTTGTTGTGGATGACATAACAGCATTTAAATGTGGGAACGAGGATGCCACCTTGCTGAAGCATCTAAAAGATCAGTTGGACTCCGCCCTCAGCCAGAAGATAAACGACCCCACACAGAGCTGGGAATCCACCAGCAGTGTAGTTGTTCGGGCGATTCTCAGACTTCTCAAGGATGACTTTGAGAGCGTGCGTCACATGACTGTTGTGGACCACCGACGGCCCCGCCCCTCCTTGACGGCTCCGTTGGCCCCGCCGGAGCCCTCTGAGACTGAAACGCACAGAAAGAAGCAACTGTGCTTCGTCTGCGGGGAGGCAGATCACGTAGCTCGTTTTTGCCCGCGCAAGACGGCATCACTGAAAGGGGGTCCAAGTACACGGTGCTTCGTCTGTGGTGAGTGGCATCACCCAACGGAGTGTGTCTTGGTGTCCCCCATTCAGTGATGCCTACAACGGTCGCAGGGCCACATCACGCGGCCCATGCAAAGGGTAAATTAAGATCAACAAGAACAATAAGGTGGAATGAAACAAGTCTTATCCCTCTAATCCCCACCCCGCATGTGCTGGCGAGTAAAGAAGGCGGCGGTAATGGCAATAACAGAAACAAGGGGGAGGTCTTGCTGGCGCGAGTTATATCCGTCGTGTGTGCTGTTAATCCCTCTGAACCTTCTCCTATCTTTTTTTTTTTTTTTGCTTTGGGTGTTTGGGCCTTCTTCGTGTGTGTTGGGTGAAAAAGGTGTTGCAAACTGCACCGTCAAAAGGCTACCACCAAACACAAGCGGAAAAACGGGAGTATGGGAAGCCCAACAACAACGGATATGTCCGAGCTCGGATGCAATATATATGTCGCCACACTTCCCCTGGACTTTGACGATCGGCAGCTCTTCGACCTTTTTGCGCCATATGGGTCTATTAACTCCGCTCGAATCATGCGCAAGAAAGGAACGCGGGATTCAAAGGGGTACGGCTTCGTTTTCTACAAGAACGCCTCCTCGGCTGAGCTGGCTATTGGGAGTCTCTCCGGCAGCGTGATTGGGGGCAAGAGAATTCAGGTGCGTCTGGCGCATCCTGATGCCTCCGCAGCGTACAATAGTCAACACACACCGAAAAGCAGCAGCTCAACTCCTGGCTGCCGTCCCTTGCACTCGATGCATCAACCACCGCCATCGCCGCTGCAGCTGCAGTCACAGCATCCGCCCCTCGTCTCACCGCCGTTGCAACCGCTAGTGCCAGCTCCGTCAACAAATCCGCCTATGATAATGGCAACAGCCCAATTCCCCACACTCTATCCAACGATGTACCCAGTTGCTATTCAGCCTGCCATTTCGCCCCCCTCAACACCTGCCGGGCACGGCGTGTTTCCTCCACCATTAATGCTGGTGCAGCAATTTACTCCGCAACCGCAGCAAGTGACACCACAGACAACGTTTTACGTGTGTTTGCCAGAAAGCGGAATACCAAGCCCTGCTATTATGTGAAGAAAAGGAGAAGAACACAACAGTAAAAATAAAAGGGGAGGGAAAAAGGGATGGGGGGAAGTAGGGGTCCTTTTCAATCGCTTTCTCTCGCTTTCTCTCTCTTTCTCTCTCTCTATTTTTGTGTGTTATAGTGCTTGGACTTGCGTCTGGTAGTAACCCTTCTTTCCCATTCGAAGGACACATCAATTCCTTTTTTTTCTTTTTATATATATATATATATATATATATGGCGTTCTTGCGCTTAACTATTGCCTTGTGTGAAAAGAAACGGGAAAAAAAAGGAAAGAATAAAAAAGTGAATGGGCTTTAAAGGCACAAATTATGGCAGCGGCCCTGGAGAGACGAGGAGCCGCAAATTAAAGAGGCAAATGACTGCAGTACTGAAACTATGTCTTTTTTCCCCCTTTGTTTGTTTGTTTGTTTGTGTCGTTCAAACCTTTGGTTTTGTTTTTGTTTACTTGACTTGGCAACCTGCAGAGGACCTCTCAACACTCACTGCTGCGTGCATTTCCCAAAGAAACCGTCCCGGAAGAACGATGACGGGCAAAAAGGAATCCGTGAGAGAAGAGGTGCGAGGATCCAGAAACGGAGGAGACGGCCGTGCATGTCACCCCCTTCCTCTCCTTCTGGTTTCTTCTTTTTTTTTTATCCCTCTTCCTCTTCTCTTCTTGCTCGTTGTTTTTCTTTGTTGGGGCGTTGACGGCCTTCGCCCAAATTGATTTGTTTTGTCAATATATTTTTAGCGTTCGCACCAGTGCGATATACGCTACTTCTCTCTCCCCCCAGCCATGCTCGTATGTGTACGTGTCTGCGTGTGTGGGAGGGGGTGGGAGGAATACACTTTCATACGACTGAAGGAGAATAGAAGGGCCAGTTTCTTTGTTGCTTTTCTATTTGCATCAGCTGCAGGGGGTACATGCTTATATATGGATATACATGTATCATTATACGTACTGCTGTTGCATCTCCACATATATAGACAAGCGGAACTTAATGTTGCAGATGCATGCTGCCATCTATATTGAGTGACCGTGTCTTGCTCATATTGTGGTTTGCTTTTGGGCCCGTTTCTTTTTTTTTTATTGAGAAGGTTTGCTTGCTTTCTTTTGCTGATTGTTCTGTAAATGAGGAAGATCTAAGGGTGTGAGGATATACTGTGCGTGACACAGAGAAATATATATGTATATGTATACGAGGAGCTAGAAGGGATCTATCTGTTTTTGTGTTTTGTTTATTTATTTGTGTGTTTGTGGATGTGTGTTTTGTTTTTGTTTTTGCGTCTGCGATGACGGATGTCTCTGCAGCAGCCATGTGCTGTGAAGAAGACGACGCGTAATATGTACATATGCGCAATATAACACGACAGGAGTGAGTGAATGCGCGGCATGCAGAGTGCACACGTGTTGTGTTGCGGCATGTGGCGTCGCAGCTGTCGAGGGAGCGGGGGGGGGGAATGCGAGGGGAAGCACGAAGAGAGAAAGAAAAAAAAAGACACATATATTAAGCTTTCTTTTTTTTTCTGCTCCCTGCACGAGTGTTCCTGATGGATCTGCATATACATACATATTGAGATGTGAGTTTTTGTGCAGGTGCAGGTGTCTGCGTCACTTTTTTTTTAGCAGTGAATGTTGTATTCGGGATGGGGCCGAATGGACGGAGAAGAGGAGGTAAAAGGAAGGGGGATAGGGTGACAAAAGACATGAAGAAGGAGGGGAAGAACATGTGTGTGGCGTGTCTGGGTAAATGGTGGGATGAAGCTTGAAAAGAGAAGGGGAGCAAACGCGGATTTGTGCATCGAGGAGAAATGGGTGCGCCTTTCCTCAGCTTAGCCCTGTTTTTTCCGTCGATTCTGCTGCGTTTGCTTGCTTTTATCTTGTTATGTGTGTCCTCTTTACGATTCCCTTCCTCTGCGCTTTAACTGTTATTAAGCTAAGAGGGCCTCTTGGCAAAGTCCTCTCAAAAATACGTTTCAGGGCCTTATTGCATCTCATTCCCTTTCTCGCATCCTTTACACCCACTTCTCTTTATCTGTCTCTGCCTCTTTCTATCTATCCCACAAGGAGAATGCAATACTCCCTTATGTACTGCATCGTAAAAAAAAATATGTATGTTTTGTCTGGAGAGGGTAAATATATGTGTATATGTATATGTTTATGTGTATGTGTATGTGTGTGATTGAGTGGGGGGGAAGCAGGACACAAAATCGTTATCTTGTACACACGCGCCTATACATAATTGGTAATCTGTCTGTTTATTATTACTGATATTGTTATTATTATTACCACTATTATTACTGCTACTGTTACTGTTCTTACTGTGACTATTACCATTGGCAGTTACATCTGAGGGGGTGGAGCGGGTGGCGATCATGTTAATTGTCGTCGTACCTCCTCAGGGGAATAAAGGCTCAGGTGTGTGAATGGTACATACGACACACGAAAGCCCATGGAAGCGGCTGTGGATGGGGCAACCCACCGCCCACAGTGAATGCTAGAAAAAGATATCCTTGGAGTTTTTTTTTTTTTTCTATATTTTCACAGTGTGGGTGGGCACCTATTTGCATTCAGGCTCCCACCCACACTGTGATCATATGCATACACATATGCACGCGAATTGAACCCCCCCCCCCCCCCTCCCCCACAATTGGTTTTGTCTTTGAGAATAAAGAATGTTATGCTAATTTGTTCTTGTTGTTGTTTCTATATTTTTCTTTCTTGGCCCATTTGTGTGTGTGTGTGTGTGTCTATACGTCTGTATGCCTATTGTGGGTGGGTTGACTATAGTTGAGTGACGGGGGCAAAAAGTAATAATAGAAGCAAATGCCTGAACACAGGCCTCATTTTCCTCTTCTAAGTTTTGTTTTTGCCTTTTTGTTTTATTACTGTGTACCGCTGTTCTGCCTCATGCTCGCTTTTCCACTTGTTGTCTTTGGTAGGTTTTGCTTTATTAAAATTTAATAAGATGTTTCAACAGCAGCAACGTAATTCCCACCCTTCTCCTGTTGAGGTGGCAAGGGGAGGAGCTTCGCGGGCATCCGACCCATGGGGGTTCCCGAGTGAATGCGGCTCAAACACGTTGATGACATACTACACCGCGTCACTTCCCCCTTCCGATCCGCCCATTGTGGATTTCAGTGGCCAATTTGCCGGAGATGCCGCTTCCTCGTTGCAGCCTTGTAGTGGCTTTAATCCGAGTCCCGTGACCACTTTAATTGGTGGCGATCCGCCACGTGAGGACCCGAAATCGGCATATGGGAGAAATATTTATGTGGCCAGCCTTCCAGCGGATATAACCGATGAAAGGCTGAGGGCTCTCTTTGAGCCCTTTGGAAAAATTCTCTCTGCCAAAACGATGTCCCGTAAAAATGGTGCCTGTTGCAGCGGATACGGCTTTGTTCTGTTTGAACGTTCGGCGGATGCTGCCCGGGCTCAAATGGCGATGATTGGACACATTGTTGATGGTAACCGGATTCAGGTGCGTCAGGCCCGGCCATCGGCATGCCAACAAATCCTGAACGTTACGGCCTCGAGTCGAACCAGCAAACTGCCTCCAAAAAACACGCAAATGTTGTCAGCTCCAGTGGCTGCTGCAGTGGTTCCTTCTGCTTGCCCCGTACCTCCAGGGAACTGCAGCCCGCAGTACATCGCTGTCTCTCCAACGTTCTCTGTGGATACAGCATCATCACCCCACGTGCCACCCTTGTCACCACTACCGCAGCTCCCCCTTATTGTGCCACAACCGCAACCACAACCTTTGGTCTGCTTTATGTTGCCAATGCCCGTTACAAGTAATTTTTGGTAGTATGACGCCCAGTGGTTTGGATATTGGGGGGGGGGGGGGATTTGGGGTACCGTTTTTCCTAAATACCAAATACCAAAGGTGTGTGGGGGGGGGGGGGGGGGGATCTATGGTTCCTTCACACATGTATGCGTGAGCGGGGTCACACACAGTAACTGCAGCGTAAAGGAAGCTGTGCCGAGCAACGAAGCATGGGAAAAATTTTTTGTGTTCTTGCCCATTACTTTTTGTGTTCGATTTCATTTTGATTCCGTGGGCGGGACACATCAGCAATAGAATTATCCTATTTTATTGATCCTCGTCACTGTGTTCCCTCGAAGTACATCTGTTTTCATTCTATTTCCACCCAACTTCTTATTGTCTCTTGCGGTCTTGGTGTTCCATGAAATTTGTTTTTACCACGTGTATGTGTAGGCTTTTTTGTTTTAGAGCACAGTGGGAAAAAAAAAAAAAACTCTGCGATCCGATGAGGCTCAATGGGTGATCACGCTTTTTATTGAAATCTTCCCCTCCCCCCGTGTCTTTATCCACAAAATATTTTTTTTTTGTCAATGCTACCCCAATGGAAGGTGGCGAACGTAGTACTTTGTTGTTGTTGTCTTTATTTTACTTTTTCACCCTCAACTCTTTTATATTGCCCACCAAAGAGAGTGGGGTCTGGTGGTTGGAGGGGGATCCCAAAAGACTGCCACGTCTTGGGTTTACAACGGCAACTCCGCTGTCATAACTATATGCCCTTTGAATTTATTTGTTCATATATATATATATATATGAGTGTGAGTGCGGTGGATAAATCCCCATTCATGTGTGAGGGACGTTAGGCGCAATGAAGCTAATTGTGAAATTTCATATTGTGTACTTTCTCTCTCCGTGCGTGGGAGCGGGAGGGACAAGGCAGCAGCAAGACGCATATTTGGTATCACAGTTTCTTTGTTTTGTGCGTGGAGGAAGTTGATTTAACCCCCCTCTCATACGTATATATATACATATATATACGTATGTTTGTATGTACAATATATATGTGCATACACCTCTGTGCTTATTCCACTCTTGCATTCTCTTATTGGTGTATATATGATACTTGCACCCTGAACCACCGACTTGTGGTTGCCTGTGAATGAATGCGCATACTCATTGGTGGTTAGGCTCATTGCGGTAGTAGGGATCTACATACGTGGGTGGCCTACCTGAGAGGAGGCGGCCGGGCAGCCCAAACCGCAATTGGGCTGACGACCACAGTGTTTTTTGTATATATGTAAATGTAGGGAGAGTGTGCGCACTTGTTTGTGATTTTCAATGTATGCGTAAACTCGACAAATTATGGAGATACATCGCTTTGAAGGGCGTAAGCTGCTCCAACGAATAAGCACTGCTTTTTGGGTTATTATTATTATTTACTTGTTTTTTTGTTTTCCTTGAGGGCTAGCAAGACAGGTGAGATGCATCGCGGAAATGGCTGGGGGTCTATGGAATGTAAAAGCCCAGCTTCGGCTGAGGCTACGTTTCTGGAGACTTCACCCTTTGAACAGGGGGGGGGGGAAAGACAAAAAAAAAAGGAAGGATCAGCTTTGCTATTTTATTTTTGGGTTTTTCCCCTACTG